AGCATCACCACCACCATCACCATTATCGCTGCCACCACCATCACCCCAATCACCACCACCGCTGCCACCACCATCACCCCCACCCCCATCACCACCACCACCGCTGCCACCACCATCACCACCACCGCTGCCACCACCATCACCCCAATCACCACCACCGCTGCCACCACCACCACCAACACTACCAGGACGTTGATGCCATCGGCAGTAGAACGTAGCCTCTTCACTGAGATGAAAATTGCAGGCACCGGTCGAATTCGTCTGCCTCACATGAGAAGGAGGTTCATTCGAACAGTGTTCACACAATTTTATGCAAGTTACTTTTTTGGGACCTATCATAGTTGGAGAGCGAACGATCTGTCTTTAGCACATAATATCAGATGCGGTTTTTCTGTCGGTACGACCGTGTTCGCTCAAAGGAGCTGTCCCACTCTTGGAAAGTTGTGATGGGCAAGTTATTCTGTCCGGCACAATGTGTTCACTTAGAGAAATGACAGTTCTCTGGATCTCACTCAAAGACAGACTAGTTTAGTGGTAGAGGTGACTTCAATTGTCAATCGTTTCCCAGAAAGATGATGAAATCATAGTTGTACTTGATTTTGGCATCGGTGTGCAATCTGTCGTTAACCAATTCCAAAGAGGTTGATGCAGTCTAATTAGTTTTAAACTTTGACCAAACTCGACTACATTGATGATTGTGTACAGACATGATTCGGGTGTTCTGTTTTTCTTTGTTCCTCATCGCTCTCTCTCTCCCTCCACTTTCATCTCCATCCGCTTCTCTGTGCCTGTCCGCCTCGATGAACTTGGACTATTCAGAAACAAGAATTGGTCAAAGCCGTGCCACTGACTCACCTACTCCTGGAAACGGATTCGCCCATACTTGGTATGACTGCTGATGTGAGTGAACATTTCGATAACTAGTCGGGTGGTTGTGTTTCTGCTCACATTCGCTGCTCGTATTCCATTTTCACGCACGTCTGAATCCAAACTGTGTGCCTAACAAATCGCGGTACAATAATGGTTATAAAGAAAAAAAAGTCCGTGATTTCCTCGAGGGCTTGCATGATTCTGCTAGATGGCCCAGGCCAAAACAGGTGAATTTTCTTGCGGAGCTCACAACCAGACCCTTCGGCCAACCAAAACCGGACCCGTAAGGCAACGGGGCGGTGTGCGGAAACCGCAATCCATTGGGGGGGGGGGCAGTGTCCAGTTCATCGGACCATACACCCTTCGGACGGGGTCAAACGTCCAAGGTGCCCAATACACTTCGATACCCAATCGCGCCGGTGACCACTACCACAACCACGAAGATGTGTGTGTGTCGAGCGTCAATCCTCATTTGCAGTGCAAAAGGGGAAAGCGGACTACAAATGACCAGAGCCCGACAATTCGATGCGGAATTGACAAATTTCCAGTCAGCAAACTGTACTTTGGATAAGACTTGCCGTGTCAAGCACCTCGTCAACTAAGGGCTGACAGGTTGAGGTTAAACAGCTAAGCGAGCGTGTACAAGGCTGTAGTTGTTCCGTGTTACTCAAATGGGCATAACTATTTATCCAGTTCTAAATGAAGTGGGTAAATTCTCTCGGAAAACAATGATGAAGAACTGGAAATACTTACGGGAATCGAAATGTTTTGTCACAATATAAAAGTAACTGAAATTAATGGGGTTGTGCGATTCCACGGATACGTGAGATTTCTTTCATAGATCTGCTCTCAACTGTGTGAATAGACGCAATCCGGTGAAGAAAACAGGATAAACGGGTCAGACATCTGAATAGGGGGTGGGGGGAGGAGAACATAAACACACTTTGGCCACATTTAACATCATTCTGTCGATATGGGCAAACAACTTTGAGATGTTAAGATCAAGTACCAGTTCAGTTCAGTTTTTCCAATCTTTAACCATGCAATTTCGTGCGCCGGTTCTGGTTGCTGTCTTTTGAATAAAAAAAAGCAGAATGAAGATTGAAAAGTTGTAAGCGAATTCAAGCGGGAGATGGAGAATTGTAAAAGAATGGTGTTACGAGAGTAATGGTTAGATGCACGATCGCCACTGTTTGCGACACCCAACCATTTCACTTATCATCTCTAACCGTCGGTCACCATAATCTGGGAGTCCCTATCCTTGGAACTGAACAGGACCTGTGTGACCCAGAGTTCGGGTTAGGATTTTTTATACTCTCGTGCTAGGTCTTGGTTTTTCTTTATACACCCCCTACCTGCCTCGGCAAACATCGCTCGCCGTGGTAGCCTATCTGGTGATATGCGCAACCCATTATGGTGAGAACTGTCCGGATGCTACTACTTATCTGAGAGCCTACACGTTCTACTTCGGGCGAGCTGTTTATTCCCATTCCCTGAAGCATGAACAAAATGTCACCGTATCCATAGATAACGAGGATTGTGGGGATGCGAGTGAATCGGAACTTTTTGTCAGACTTGGTTGGTGATCGACTGCAACCTCATCGACATTTTGATGATCAAATTGACGGTTTCTAAACAATACCAACAATGTGGCTAATCGGACGGTTTGCAGTGCCGCTGCCCGGCTTTCTCCATTCTCTCCCTGTGTATGTGTGTGTGCGTGTGTGTGTGTGTGCTATGGTTGGCCGCTTCCCCCTTTCCGGAATGTTCTAGCCGTGCATATTCAATGAATGAAAAAAAAACGGATAAGGATGTATGTGCCTGGTGATACGATTGCAGGTGAAAGTCCGATCGGTGATGATTGTTCGTCGGTCACTTGTGCTGTGCTCTCTGCTTAAAGCCCACACTCATGTGCAGGTTATACTCTGTCAGTAGCACAGGAAAGGGTAAACATGAGTCAAGCAAAAGTGAGATAGTGTTTTGTGTGCAGAACGGAGCACTAGATAGGTTTGTTGTGAAGATACTTCTTTGTCGGGAGAATCTACGGTAACACTGAAGAGATAAACAACCAATAGCGTTGAGTATGCGTAAACAGTATCCGACTTGCCAAACCATGCATTGTTGACATAGGTAGTCACACCACCGCTGGTCTTCTTGCCGCATGAGACACCGTTCTGCTGGTACAGATTAAATCCATCGATGGACACCAACGCGTCAGTAGCATACGAGTTCAGTCAAGATTCTTGTATGCAAATCAGACAAGTATGCACATGAATTCGGGACCGGAGAACAAGTGATAAATCCGAGAATTTCGCGAACAAGGAACGTATGTTCGTACTGTTCGAACTGATGGGACGGACATTTTCAGTGGAGGGGTGCACGTAAGAACAACTTACCACCCAGTCCGGTTGTGCTTTTTGTCTGAAATCCGAGAGAATCGAGTGTAGTTGAATCGAATCGTTCGGCAAATCCGCGAGGTTTTAAGTAGAAGAAATTCCGATCTGGAATAGCAAGTCAAGTCAAAGTAAAAAATCGCTTTATTCATCCTAATGGATGGATTCTCAGCTTCTTGCACTCCAGGAACATTTATCGTAGCATACAGTCACAAAAAAGTGAGAAAAAAGCATCGTCAATTCAAAGAAATGTGGAGTAAAAAGTTTGAAAATGAATATCAATTGCGTAGGAATTTCAAAAAGTCTTCTCTAACGGATGCCTTTTGAGCCAGAAATCTCGAAAGATAGGGAATGACGGATAAACGATAGACAGTGGTACGAGCGTACACCAGTTTATAACGACATCTTGTAACAGAAGTGGATATGCAGTGTTTAAGTTCTATGTGTAATGGGTGAGTGGTGTCTGACAGAATATTGTTACAGAAGTTACCGCAAGAGGTAAAATGTTTATCAGCGATAAAGTTAAGCAAGTGCAAATAGGGAATACCGCTTGTGCGAGAAATAATTTTAATAAACCGGCCTTGAATTGTGTAATCTTTAGCTCTAAGACCGGCAAATAAAACTGGGGAGCAGTAGAGAAGATGAGTAACAACACAAGAATATACAAATTGGGTTAGTAAATACAATGGAACTTTCAAAGAAAGCAAGCGGGTAATAAAGAAACACAACTGTCGAATCTTTACAAAAGTAGAAGTTAGATATGAGGTCCAGATGAGATCTCGGCAGATAGTGACACCGAGGTATTGTAGAGAGTTTACTGACAGAACAGGCTGGTTGTCAACACAGAGTGCAGAACAATTTCTTTCAAACGAATGTAGCCGTTCTCCTTTGGCGAGTGAAAAGGTGACATCGCTACATTTAGAAGCATTGAGAGATAACTTTGAAGATGAAGACCATACGTTTAAGGCAGATAAACTGGTTTGAAGATGTGAAAATCGGAAATCACCTTGGAATTTGGAACCAATTGTGACATCATCAGCATACTTATTAAAAAGATCATTTGGGTTAGTGGGAAGGTCACGAATACAGAAAGAGAAAAGAAAGGGGCTACAGAATTGCTCCCTGGAACATCCCTGAGTTGACTGGCAGGGAGTCAGATGTTTTTCCAAGAAACTTTGTGAGTTGTGTTCTACCGGCAAAATAATCTTGGAGTAGGGAGAGGATATTATTGGGCAGTCCAGCATCTTGGAGTAGAGACAAAAGCCTGCTCCTATCAACACAGTTAAAAGCATTACTATGGTCGAGGAAACACACGAAATGCCCTGCCGTGCATGTCTAAGGATCGTAAAACTGAGTTTACCAAATGAGCGAGAGCATCTGAGATAGAACGTTTGCGATAAGCGAATTGGTTTTCATCCAGCTGCCCAAAATTGAGAACAATGTTACTCAGCATAAACTTTTCGAAAATTTTTAGCAAAAGTAGAAGTGCAGGCGATTGGTCGTAATTTGCCAGCTTCTTTTGGGGGGACTGGTGTAATGCGCACAGATCTTCAGCAGTCGACAATTTTTCGTTCCTCGAAACAGCGTTTGAAAATACCGGCAAGTGGCTCCGCCAGATAATGCGCACATTCCCTGAGGACGATTGGACACAGTCCGTCAGGATCGGAAGCTTTTGATATTTCTGGGCACTTCAGCTGTGCACGCACCTGATTAGAATTGACACGTGAAATTTCACGATAGTCAATTGATTGGAAATAAGGATACGATACTTCAGTTTCAGTCGATGTGGAAAACATGCAGTTGAGTTCATCTGCTGTGGGTTGGGGCCCGCGTAGTCTGACTTTTGTTCCACAAAGTTTTTTCATAGCGCTCCAAATTTGCTTGCAATTACGGTCTCCAAGACGGGTTTCAGTGTAGAGTTTATCTAGATTTTGGATCTCATTCTTGATCAGCACTGACGTTCATTTAACCAAAGGTCGATCACGGTTTTTATATGCCCATTCCTCGGTTCTTCTGAGGGTCTTCAAAGTGGGAGAAGAAAATTTGGCAGGACTGATGTATATAGGGGATATGGAGCAGCAGATGTCAAAGCAGAAATTCAAATAGCTCGTGAGATGTTCACACTCGATCGAGACACTAGGATCAGATAACTGATCGAAATTTGTACCAGAGACCATTTCTCTCAGTGATGCCAAGTGGACCGGATCACACAACGTATAAAAAATCTTCTGGCTAGATTTATGTGTCTTTGTGCTATGATGTTTCTTTGAATAGACTTTTAGTCGAACGTTGATGATACAATGATCGGAGTTTGCCAGAGGGGCTCCTCTTCGCACAGCAAACAGGTCAGAATCGTTCGAAAACAAGGTCAAATCGCGCGTTTCCTCTTGTGGAGAAATTTACAATATTGTGGAGAGAGAGACATGTCAAGAAATGAATATCTGCACGGTTGAAATCGCCACTAACAATAAAAAGAGAGCGTTCAGTGTAGTTAGAAAGTTCGGATATAAATACATCAGCCAACGTCTGTACATCAGAAGTTGCACTGGAAGGTGCTATGTAAATGTTTGATGCCACAATGGAACGATGTTTACTGAGGAAACGGGGTTTACATTCAA